AGGGAAGGGAGCTCCTGCTTGTCCAGACAGCCGTAGCCATAAAACAGCAAAAACAATGCATGAAACATTTTAGTTGCATTTTCTATCTAGCACAGTATATGCATATGTGTGTGTTTGAGTGTTTGTGTGTGTTCATGGCTGTTATATGTATACCCGTGAATTATACAGGCATATGTACACACACACACACAGCGTATTGCTGCAATGCCATCAAATAAAATGCATAAAATAAATTTCATTTAAATTAAAATAAATAAAATAGCCTATCGTCTGGCCAACTCACACCCCTGCGGCTTATCCAAAAATAAAGACTTAGACAAAACGCAGACTCATCAATATACACATATGTAGTCATATACATACAAACATACATACATACATACATACTATTATAGTATACTTGTATACTATGTAAATACAAAGCTTGGTAAGGCATTCACGTACATCTCTTTGGTTTTATTAAGTTGCTGCCTATGTATATATTTTAATTGATTGTCCGGCATCCTTACTGCTTGCCCATCATCTTCAGATTGTGGCAAATATATTTTGCGAATTTTCATTAGCTGCTCAATAGCACTGCATTTATCCTAAAATAGTTTTGCAATTGAATTAAATGCAATATACATTATTTCATTGAAGAAGTAAAACGAGTGGAAATTTTGTTCATGAATTTCAAATATTATTTTTTGTAGCAAATCAAATTAAATTAACAATCTAAAAATGTAAAGCTTAAATGAATAACAATAATATATTAGAGAAATTAATTAATTACATTAATTTTTGTCCTTTTTTTGTGCGTTTCAATTTCTTAAGCAACAATTTAACCAACTTCGGAAATGAAACCAGGCCGATTAGAATTGAAGTAAAGAAAGGCTACTCTTTTTCTTAGGGTTTTAATACAAATCAAAACAGGTTAAATCATTAAAAAGCATGTCATTAATCTGAAACCTGATATATTCTGTATTAAATTGTCTATTTTGAAAATTATATAGTGAAAACTTGAAGTAGTAATATTTTTTATATTTATAGTTTTCCGTAAAAATTGTATAATCTTTATTATCCATTAATGCTGATACAATTTTAATATGAAGCTACGTGTATTAAATTATAAATGATCGAATTTTGTTCAAATTTATCATTCGTTGCTGTCGATTTGATTTTACAGCTAAAACAACACCATAGATACCTGCCCTTTGTGTTAATATTCGGTTTTCTTATATTTTAAAGAGCGCCACAAAGGATTAATATTCTATTACTACTATTCTAAGTGGATAGTTGAACTGTTTATCCAGCCGCAAACAACAGAAATAAATCTTATTCCAACTCTTGCATATATCGCTGCAATGACCATTGTCCTTAGATTGAATGGTTTAAAGGATATTCATGCTCATTCCATCGCACAATTGCCATAATACTTCGACTTTATAACCTGTTGACCTTATACAAGTAATGCGATCCTTTTAGTCTAACCCTTTACCTGGTGTATTGCTATTGACCTGTTTTCAAACGACATATTTTAAGCGTGGCCGCTGACGGTTCAAAGTAAAGTGAAATAAAATAAAAATCCCTGAACCAACGCTGTGAACGCTGAAATGGCAACGGCTTCTATCAAGTGGTCCTAAGGCACCTCAACCAAGCATTTCAATGCTTGCACATCCACTTTTTATCCAACTAAAGAGTCACAGAAAAAGAGGAAATATGTATATACATAAATAAACAATGAAAGGCCAGCGCAAGGGAACAATAATACGGGTATCTCCACCCAGAACCGGAGTAAAAGGGCAGTCGAGTTCTGTTGAAAAGGGTGGTCAAAGCAACGACGCGGCGGCCACGACAGCGATGCAGCAAGCATTAACCAAACGGTGGCTAAACGGAAAACGTCCTCGACCTAGTTCAATTCCAATGTCATTGTGCCACATTATCGCCAACGACGATGGCGTCCTTTCGTCCTTTCGCAGGCTTGGCCTTGGCTGGAGTAAAACGAGCGCACGAGTCGAGGCCACGGCCACGAACATAGCCAAAGTGGCACACACCACAATGCTGCTGAGCTGGACTGGGCTGGGCTGGGCAGGGCAGGACAGGGCAGAACAGCATAGAATAGGACAGGGCGGCATATGCAGGACCCCCACAAACGAGACACCAGCTACGACGCTGGCGATGCTGCATCGGTGCATGCCAGACTGGTGGTGTGGCTTCATTGCTGGTGGCGGTAGCGACAATATCCTTGCACTTGTGCGGGGCCATCAGGCGCAGCAAAGGCCGCGAGGCTGAGGCTGAGCCACAGCACAACACACATACAGCCTCAAAACACCGCCTATCACTTGAATAGGAACACCAGCGATTATCCATTCTGTATATGAAAAGTAAACTATATACATGTATGTACATATTTTTAAAAATAATATAATAATAATATGATTAGCAGTATCAAAGCGGTATATTGATCATGTTTGCTCGTTCGTCCATCTGTCCGTTTATCCTCCTGAACGCATTAATACTAAGAATAATTGAGCCTTAGTTTTGTGCTTAAGTCCTAGTTTCTAAATATAAACCCTTATTTTAAAATATAATTTCTTGATAAATATATTATGGAGAGCATTTATAATTTATATTAGAGCTCTCCTGCAATGGAATTTAAAAGCTATATCGCAGATTGAACATATTGTATTGGCTTTCGCTGTCAAAATACATGCATGCAACGCAGTCAGGAGTCAGACTGCCTGGCCGCCAATCCACTGGCAACTGCAGTCACCTCCTTTTTCTGCCGCCCCTTGCCATCGATGCGACGGGTGTTACTTGGTGTTGTCGTTGTTGTTGTTGTTGTGCAAAGGACACACAGAAGTCTAGGGGTACGAACACAAACTCATGCAACGGTTTCACTTCCACTCCCACTCCCACCCTCAGGATAGCAGTCTCTGGCGCGTTGCACTCGAAGCTGCAGTGCAAATCTACGAACAAGGCAGACACGCGCCCCCACCGCAGGCATTCCACAACAGGAGGATGCCAGCCGGTTGGCATCGCCATCGTCATCACCATCGACAACACCATCACCCACATGTTAAAGACCCTTCCTTTATTGCATTTGACTTTCGCCTCATCGCAGCTTTAATGCTCTTTCGCCCCCACCCCCTTTCTCATCTCATTCAATCTGTTTTTCTCTCTTTCTCTCTCAGCGCCTTGCTCACAAACGACGTCACGTATTTCTGTATGCTGTACAGGAGGAAGGGCTGACCCATCACGCCTCTCAAAGTCTCCATTGCAAAAGCCCCACATGCAAGCTGTAATCGCGGGTTTGGGTTGGTTTGGTCTGCTTTTAAAACTTGCTCCATTTGCACTAAGTTAAGCTCTGGTTCTCTCTTTCTCTCTCTATAAATAAAATTCTCGTTCTCTCTTTGCATTTTGCATCGACAGGGTGTTGTGTTGTGTGTGTGTGTGTGGAGTTCAACTTCCAAACCAATAGCTTTAGCATCCTAGTCCACACTATAAGTTTTCTGTTAGTACTAGGGTGGTTCAATAGCAACAGAATAATAATGGTATTAATATTTTCGATACATTTTAATTTTTGCAAATATAATAAAAGCAACAGGAACTATGTATGAACACTTGTTTTGTTAAAGTTCATAAGTCAGAACCAATATGTATATTTTCTTGATCGAAAAATTTTAAATACTACTTATCTGTTAAATTTAGATAAATAGGTGCATATTTCCTTAAATACAATATATACTGCACAGAAAAATATATCATTTAATTTTTAAGAAAATAATAACGTAGCTTTAACAACAATTGCATCTTTTGCGATTTTAAATTTATAAAAACAAATAACAAAAGATTCTGTAATATATCGAACTTTATTCAACAGCTATGTTAAGCTAAAATAACAAATACTAATTTCCAAAAAATTGTCTCTATTTCAAATAGTTCGATATTGAAAATTATTTACGTAAAATGTATGCATCTATGTTAATATACCTAATTCTGTACTTGAATTATATCATTACATCGTTACCAAGCTGAGATAGAGTTTATAGAGCTTGAAAGTTCAAATTGCCAATCAAATGAGGGAAACTAACAGTTTTAAAGGCCATTAAGCACTCTTAACATTGCTAACAGCAGACACTTAACACGCACCAATTGCTTAACATTACAGGTAAATCGACGCACATTTAACAGAAGAATGCACCACACACAGAAAACGAAATAAAGAGAGACCAGAGAGAGGGAGAGAGAGAGAGTATCAGTTTACGTGCAAGTTTGGCAAGTATTTCTTGACCAGCAAACAAGAAGTGGGCTAAGAATCAAAGCAGAGAAAGGTAAACGGGCCACATTCCATTACCGACTGAGCCGCAGCAGCCACCACCGTGTCGTGTAGCCGGCAGCAGCAGCCGCAGCAACGGCAACAGTGCGTCATGGCTGGGAGAGTCAGTGCGCGGCGAGATCTCCACCGAGCGAGTACGGAGCAAGATCCAAGCCGGACCGAAATACGCGCATGCGCTGTCTCAGATACATATCAAAAATCGTTAATGCGATTTTGTTGTTGTTTTTTTGTTGTTTTGTTTTGTGTGTGCTTGAAACTTTCTTCTACAGCTGGGCCCTCATACGTAAATAACCCACATACAAGTTGTGTACGAGTGTATGTGTGTTAATGTGTTTAGTTTGTTAACGAAAACGAAAGAAGCAACAAGTGGCGGAGTGGCAGAGTGCCTGAGCAAAGAGCAAAAGCGGCCAATAAGTTTGCGTGGACGTGGCAGAAGTTCGACGAAGTGCAAAAATAGACAGAAAATTCAGCAAATAAATGAAGTGAAAAATGTGATATTAAGGCGGTAAACAAATCACAACCAATTCACAAGCCCTTTTATAACAAGTTAACATAATTAAAGAAGTGAAAGTGACGGTGGTAATTACACAAAAAAACAAAAATAAATAGCTGGGGAAGACCTACCCAGAAAATGCATGGTTTATAGTTAAATTGAAGCGAATTTTCCCACGCTGCACACAAAACGCACACAATGTCCACCTACACCAGCACTATACAGCGGCGAAAGGCGGCAAGATCCAAATCGAAAACAAAACAACAACATGCAGAGCATCTCATAGACAGCCAAAATGAGAGCAACGAACAAAACGAAAGACTTCACTTTCGCACCACAGGCGACAAGCAGTCACAGTCGCAGTCGCAGTCGCAGCCACAACGTCGTCGTTCAACAACCTCGGCAGCTAACTCACCACTGTGCTGTAACGGCAGCTTACCCACCACAGCCGTACTCAACTGTTGTCGCGACGTCAACTGCCACCTGAATGCACCGCTGCGCGGTAGCGTTGAGCGCAGTAGACGATCGGCGAGCTGGAAATCATCGACTCAATCCGATCGCGCCTCCCCAGCGCCAGCCTCGAATTCGCCATCACCAACACCAACATCGTCTACCTCCGCTCACGCCCCCACCTCTGAACAGGACGAAGAACGGCGCACACACTTGTGTTCCAGTGCGCCTGCTGGCGGCGTCTGTGACGAGGATTGCCATAAGCTTAATGCTGATCGGGGCCACACTCCGGCACGATTTACTGTTAGCCTGAACATTGATCTTATCAGCTGGGGTCTGTTCCTGTTGGCGTTCAGCACTAGATTCTACAAGTTGGCAACGCCGCCGCATGTCGTGTAAGTCGAGCCATGAATAACGGTTTTATTTTATTTATTTATTTATTTAATTATTTATTATTATTTCCTAGTGCAACAAGAAATAAATTCTTATAAATTAATGCACTAGTCACTATTTATATTTATATTAATTTTATATTTATTTTATGTCCCCTCACTCCCATAGCTCTTTATTATTTAGGTTATTTTTTTAATTATAACAAAGACGAGATGTTCTATCATACTTTTTTAGCACATAATGGACAACATGAAGCTTATAAAATTATATAATAAATTAAATTTTAAAAGTTTACGATGTACACGCTACCTAGGCAGCACTCATATATTCGGATGACAATAATAACAATATTATTTTATTGCTTAGAAATATATTTCAGGCTCCTAATTAAATTTAATTAAATATCTTAAGCAATGCTAAATATATATTTTATAAATCGTTTTCTATTTTAAAACTTTCTGCTGCAGTTATATACCCTTGACACTTTTTTCTCATTCTGATCATACATGAATGCTTTCTCACCTATATTTGCGTATGCATACCAAATTTATTTAGTTTAAGCAAATTTAATTTTTTCATATTAAGCAAATAATTGTATCTTCTTATTTTTAATGAAAAGTAATAGTTAGTATAAGGAAAGGACCTCTCCGAACCCTTTGATACCGTTCGAGGTTTCAGGCAAGGCGATGCCCTCTCGTGCTATCTCTTCAACTTCCTGCTGGAGAGTGTGGTGCGCAAAGCTGGTGTACACCGAGGCGGAACGATCTTTTTTAAAAGCGTTCAGCTTCTTGCGTACGCTGATGATATAGACATTATCAGCCGTACCAGGAGAGGCGTCACCGGAGCATTTGCGGCTATTGAGAAGGAAGCTGCAAAAGTGGGTTTGGTGATAAATGAGAGCAAAACTAAGTATATGTTTTCCTCTAGCAGGGACACGCGGCAACCAGACTCCCAGATCGCGGTGGAAAACTATACTTTCGAAATGGTGAAAGATTTTATGTATCTTGGCACCACCGTCACAGCAACCAACGATGTCAGCCTAGAAATCAAATGGAGATTAACTCTAGCCAATCGATGCTACTTCAGCCTCAGTAGGCAATTGAGTAGCAGAGACCTTTCCCGAAAAACCAAGCTAACGCTCTACAAGACGCTCATCCTCCCCGTGCTGCTTTATGGTGCAGAAGCATGGGTGATATCGCAGACTGATGCAGCAGCTCTTGCAGTGTTTGAGAGAAAGATGCTTCGGAAGATCTTCGGTCCCATACGCGTTGGCGACGACTACCGCATACGATGGAACAGCGAACTGTACGAGCTCTACGCTGACATTGACATAGTCAAGCGAATAAACATACGGCGGCTAAGCTGGCTAGGTCATGTCGTGCGTATGGAAGAAGACGCTCCAGCGAAAAAAGTTCTCGATGCGGATGTTGGGGGGAGACGACGACGGGGGAGGCCTTGCCTACGTTGGAAGGACCAGGTAGAGAACGCACTTACTACCTGCGGAGTGACCAACTGGAAGCGACGCGCGCGAAGCAGAGGCGCGTGGAGAGCTGTGTTACGTCAGGTCATAGCCCGATAACGGGTTTGAAGACCAGTCAAGAAGAAGAAGAATAGTTAGTATATCAGAAGTGGACCTACTTGTCGATCCTTATAGCGCCACTATTGTTAAATCCCTATAACTCAACTGGAACGCCATGAATTCGAATATTTGGATTTATCCTTTTCAACGCCAGGCTCTTTCTGCACACCTCATATATATTTTACCTGGTTTTCTATTGAATTGGCTAACAAGTCTTTCTTTCTCCAGGGGAATACTCACAATGTTTCCTTCTATGTCATTATTATTCAAATTCATTACATATGCTATTTTTCAAATGGACCTTTAAAAACGTTATTCACAAAGAAGTTTTCTATTGGTAATATTGGACTTAGGCATTTATATGGTGGGGTTACCTTAATTTATCAATAATTTTTATATAATTGCTTATATCAATAATCGGCTATATTTTCCCAACAGCTTCGACGAACTTCATTACGGCAAGTACATCTCCCACTATCTGCGCAATGTATTCTTTTTCGATCAGCACCCACCACTCGGGAAGCAAGCAATCGCAGCAGTAGTCAGCTTTGCTGGCTACGATGGCAATTACACGTTCCCGCGCATTGGTGCTGCCTATGCTCCCAACGTTCCGATCTTCTGGTTGCGTTTCTTGCCGGCATTATGTGGCAGCCTCCTAGCTCCGGCAGTCTACAAGCTGCTGCAGGACGCGTTACTGCGACGCTGGACAGCTGCGCTCGGAGGCCTGCTTGTGGTGCTGGACAACTCGCTGTTGACGCAGTCGCGTTTCGTGCTCATGGAGTCGATGCTGCTGCTATGCAGTACTCTGGGACTTAGCTGTCTGATCCGTTTCCAGCGACTACCCCTGGGCAGCTTTCGTTGGGTAACGACTGGAGTCGCAGCAGCACTGTTTCTTGGCTGCGCCGGCAGCATTAAGTATGTTGGCTTCTTGGCCTTGGCACTGGCCGGTTACATTATGTGTCGGCATTTCTGGCAAATTCTTTACGATAGTCGGGTGTCGGGTGAGTACTTAGATTGGACATCTCTTCCAAAAACAAATCCAATTGACTTATTCTTTTGCTTCCCATAGATTTCCAGATATGGATGCTTGTACTGGGTCGTACCCTATTGTTTGTCGGCATACCACTTGCCGTCTATGTGAGCGTTTTTTATGTGCACCTACAAACGCTTTATCGAGCAGGACCGCATGACAGCATTATGACCAGCGCGTTTCAGGCCTCGCTGGATGGTGGCTTGGCATCAATAACGCGCGGTCAGCCCCTCAAGGTGGTTCATGGCTCTCAGATCACGTTGCGGCACACGCATGGTCGCACCTGCTGGCTGCACTCGCACGCCCACGTCTATCCGGTACGCTACAAGGATAAGCGGGGCTCCTCCCATCAGCAGCAGGTCACATGCTATTCCTTTAAGGACGTGAATAATTGGTGGATTGTTAAGCGGCCGGAGCGTGATGATCTGGTGGTGGGTGACGAGCCTGATCCCATACGGCATGGCGATGTCATTCAGCTGGTGCATGGCATTACCAGTCGAGCCCTCAACTCCCACGATGTGGCCGCGCCGATGACGCCGCAGTGCCAGGAGGTCAGCTGCTACATTGACTACGAAATAAAAATGGCGGCGGAACTGTTGTGGCGCGTGGAGATTCTCAACAGACGCACTGAAGGAGAGCTCTGGCATGCCATTAAGTCCGAGATACGTCTGATCCACGAGACGACGGGCGCGGCACTACGCTTCAGTGGCCGCCAACTGCCCGACTGGGGCTTCAACCAACACGAAGTGGTTGCCGATCGCGAGCAGGCTCACGAGGATGCCATTTGGAATGTGGAGGAGCATCGCTATACGAAGAGTAAGTAATTCTTCAAATATCAGAAAGGCTAAATATTTGTAGAGCAACTAATCAATCAATTAATCGATCAATTGGTGGATCCCTGCGGTTGCCTACATTTTACACTCCGGCATTTAAAATGATTTCAAAAAACTCGGTCGAAAACTATATACGAATAGAGTTGAATTTTTATTGAATATTATTAAATTCTTTTAATAATAGCTGAATTATTCAAAAAGTACTATATTAGTTTAAAACAAAGTTTCTAATATTTTTTAATTCCAATCTGAAACGCTCTTTCTGATAACATTTAGTCTTTAGATTGCAATACTATAGTGCTCAGAACTATAATAAGTTAAACAAGTAATTGATCTATTTTTCTTTTATTCGCAGCTCAAGATCAGCGTGAACGCGAACGTCAACTCCTCTCTGCTGAAATGATACCCACCAAGCGGACAAGTCTCTCCTTTTGGGCCAAGTTTCTGGAGCTGCAGACGAAAATGTTCTGGCACGCCAAACAGCTTTCGGGCCACATGTACAGCTCAGAGCCAATCGAGTGGCCGCTGCTTGACAAGGGTATTGCCTACTGGCTGGATTCGGGATCTAGTGCGCAGATCTATCTGTTGGGCAACCTGCTCATCTGGTATAGTGGTACCTTCAGCCTTCTGGCCTATGTATTGCTGTTCTCCTTCCACGCAGTGCGTAGACGTCGTCTCTGCCTTGATCTGTCGGAATGCGAGTGGCAACGCTTTCTGGATGCTGGGGATACCTTCTTTATGGGCTATTTAATACACTACTTGCCATTCTACTTTGTCGACCGGACGCTCTTTCTGCATCACTATCTGCCCGCCTTCCTCTTCAAGCTGATGCTGCTCTGTTTCGTGGTGGATCATGTGGACTATCTGTTGCGCCGGCACTGCGGACGTGCCCTCTTCATCTTGAGGGGCTATCGTGTGGGGATTCTGTCTTGGCTGATAGCTGTTGCCGCGGTATTTGTCAAGTTCTTGCCACTGAGCTATGGAACACGAAAAATGTCTAGCGAAGAAGTTATTGAACTGCGCTGGAAGGACACCTGGGACTTTGTGCTTCAAAAGAACTATGCTCTCTATTGAGAGTGGGCCGTCCTTTGAATTGTTTGTTGCTCAAGAATACCTTGTATCGAATTGTTATTGTTTATAATCGATATACAATTTTGGCATTTACATAGCTATACAAATTATTTGCCTGTTTGACCACCCACAAGAAATACATACTCGTACATACATTCATACATACTCGTATGTGTAGCTTTGTCTTATTTTAAGTTATTTATGCTGCAATAAAAGTTAATAGATAGATTGACAAATTTATTTAAATTGAAACTGACATTCAATGTTGTGTTGGAGAATTCATTTCATTTCAGCAGCTTCCTTGATGTTTTTGTTGATAATGAATTTCATTTATTTAACATTTAAATTCAGTTGGTTTTAAACTTAACAATTATGTTTCATATTTCAGAGATTCATAAATCAAAACAAAAAGCACTTATACCCATATTGAGGGTCATTCATCAACTTCATTACTGTCATCTGTAGAATGTTCAATATCTTTCTTTTCTGTATTTAATTATTGGTTGCATATTGCGTTAGGTAGTTCCAATATTTTGCAACTGTTCATCATTATTTATGTTATATTTTTTAGCCTGGAAGTATAGGTTTACGGCCAACCAAACACAGACTGATATTATATCGCTTAGCTCAATGGAAGTCAATTGTTTGTATTGCTTCAGTTGATTGTTCTTGTGTACATCTGATAGTTTATATAAAGTTCAGGATCCGATTCCAAGAAAAATTTCATAAACTGCACATGTTTTGAATTAATATTCATGCCAGAAATGTATAACCCAACATTTTTACTATACTTACCGTATTTACAACTCCATCTACTCGTATGTTTTGGGAAAATTTAAATAAGAGAAGAATTATTCGTTTGTAACACATATACACTTAAAATGATTAAAATGATTTTTACGTTTACCCTTTACTGTATCTTTCAAGAAAAATAGTAGTCTTTTACCAAAAAAAAAAAAAAAAAAAAACCGATAGAATAATTAAATTTTAAAAACAATTAACGAAATAAAAGGCGACAACTTAATTATTAATTATTACTTAATTATTTCCTTTAAATATTAATATATTTAACATATGTAAAAGAATGAAGAAAAAATTAATGTAACGATAAAAGTGTAGAGAACAACTTTCAGGAACCTCCGCAACTATAATGTAGTTGTGTTATTATACCTTAAGACAGGAACAATCGGATTTGCGGAATAAGTTAAGGCCAGTTCTACTCCAAGAACATACTCATACATTTTTATGTGTGTAATCAAAACACAATTTTGTTGTGAGCTTAAGGGTATGTCCTCTTCGGCTTGTTGTTCCGATCACTCCCACCTGAGCTACTTAGTTTCTAGCAGCTGCACTATTGCACCAAATTAGACTTGACTCATTAACTTCAATTAACTCAGCGGCGGGTTGAGTCAGCGGCAGTAGACTTGTAAGCTCCAATAAGTAGGCTCAGTCCGATTTGGGAAGTCGCTTAGCAAAGCTGAGGCTTAAAAGCAAGATGTACTTAAAACTTTGGCATTTACCACTAATTATTTTGATCGCCGGCCTGAATTTGGAATTTGCTGGGTGCATGCATAACCCTTTAGTAAAGGCTGGTGAGTAATGCAGCGCAAATATTAAAAAAAAGTGGTCCAAGTTGTAATTCCTAAATTCGCAGAATGTCAGAGAGGAGAGGTATGGACGTGTGTAATGCAGTTTATTATTTGCTGGGAACATGAGTGTGTCTGCGCAGCACATCATATTCCTTTGGGGCCTGGTTTGGGATGTTTATACGAAGAATACGGCAAATAGATAACAAATTTTAATATTGTTAAGAAATTTTGATAAAACATAGATAAATGAATAATAAAAATGCATTACCTGAAAAATATTATCAACCCTTATTAAAATAACAGAGCAACATAGGACCCTTTGTTGGCTAAAAACATACCTCACTTAAATCGAAATAATGTACAATTTTTATCACAGATCATGGCAACTCCGAAGTCGTTCCATATTGGTTGTTCCTAAATTCCATCGTTTTGGTGCCGCTTCGAAAAGTTGCAAAAGTGAATAAAAAACAAAATTTTTTAAAGAAATTTAGTTGGAGACTGGGCTTACGATATCTTAAAATCGAACTGTTATATTGAAAAGCCTTGGTTTGATGTGATTTGGAATGTAGTTAATAGTGAAATCTACTGACATAACTATATAATGAACATAAATCAATCAGCCATGACATTCGCTGGATCAATTTGTAACGGTCATTTCATAATATTGTGCTACGGTAAAGACTAAAACGCTGATCGCATTGAGTATCGTTATCTTTTTCTTTAAACTAATTATATATTTATATTTAACCTCTTTAACAAGCATTGTATGCTTGCAGGACGTTTGTCAAAATCTGTGAGGTCTATTAGAGCCGCTGGCATTTTAGCAATAGCTGTGGTATTAAATGGTAAATTGGCATTAAATGTGATTAGTGTTGCTTACGTAAAACTTAAGAGTTGAAGTGCTATAGTAGGTTCATAATACAGTTCATGTTTAAGATGCGACTACTATGTACTATACTAATATTATTTTTAGGCTTATGTGCTGTAACAGGTCACGTCCTCAGTAAGTAGCAAATATTTTTTTGATTTTCTTATTTCTCCTTTACATCCGATATTGAAGATTGTATGCCGAACGAGGACAAATTGTGTCGGGTTTGGCTTGTAAAGTGCTTACAGTTTAAGTGCGTCTGTAAAAAGGGTTTGATACGTGTGACGGGGATCTGCACTGAAAGGGGAAAAAAGCCAACACATCCTCCGAGGCCAAAAAGGAGGCCACCACCTACAACTGCAAAACCGCAAATCAACAACGACAGCGACTATCCCAACCTGAGCCCCAATACCAATTCAAATATAATAAAAGAGCCAATAATGAATCCAAAATCAATTCTAACTGAAGTCCGCCAAATGATGCTTGAATCCTCCGAAGATAATTAAAAACAACATGAAAAAAAATGCTTAATTAATCGTCTTTGATTGTCCTATCAGCGATCGAAGTGGCGGGTGAGCAGCAATTTCTTCACTAAGTCACTTAGCAATTTTAAAAACAAAAGTTATATTGGTTAATGTGAGAATTTAGAGTAACGACAATTCCCTTGCGCCCATATTTATGTTAGGCATCTAAAATACCTCCGAGTTAGTCTCGGTAAAACTTCTTTTAAATATTACAAAGGATAATGGTATATTAAAGAATAGCCATTGTTACATATTAGCCTTTAATTGCTTAGAACTATGGAGCTATACATGTCAACGTCTTTCGAATCGAGAATATTTCTTTCTGAGTTCAGGAATTTGCTTTTTGATTTATTAAAGAAGTGATTCACATCTAATAAGCGTTCGTAATTAATGCATTAGGGGGAACAAAAATAACAAAACGGATAATGTTGGGACGCTTTAAACGACTTATAATACAGTTGGGATCTTTGTAGAATGCACTCTATAGTTTACCTAAATTTCCAACTAATAAAAAAAAGTTTATCTTTGTACTGACAAATCGGTTGTTAAAGAACGTAAACAATTTTCTATTGTATAAAAATTGATTGGCATAGATTACACAAAAAGCCTTTTTATGTAGCGAACTAGATGGCAATTTTATCGTACAAACATAATAATGATACAAAATCATAAATTAGTCGTTGGTTAGTTGCTAATTGTCGTTTCAAACACAAAGCTTTTAAATTAAATTATGTTCGTTATTGCTATCTATAATTAATGGGACACTTTACGCTCCGCTTTTTGATACAATGGTAAGGGGACATCTAGAATGTATCAGTTTTAACTTTCTACCGACGATTTTATGAATGTATGTACAGGAGCAGTTGGACCGCAAGTATTCAGATTATTTGGCGTTGTCTAGAAAGTCTTTCGCTTCGTTGATTTTTGCCGCCAAATACGGTGAGCCGCCGCGATCAGGATGATTGAGCAACATGATTTTCTTGTGCGCATCCTTAATCTACAAAAATGTAAATGAAATTAAATTCTTGTATTGACCATTACATGGATTTGCTTTACGCACCTTTATTTTTGAGGCGCTTGGACTGACACCCAAAATGAGCGATGCCTCCCGTTTGTTCATCTTAGGATCGAAGCCACCTTTGTAATATTTAGCGTTCGCCATGCTCTCCGCATCGAATTTCGGCAAGTTCTTCAACGCCTCATTGAATTTAGTCGTCATCTGAGGCATGCGGCGCAACAGATGCTTCCCAGCGAATCCAACAGCGGCTACTCCGAGTCCGGCCAGAATAAGCGAGCTAGTCTTTGAGTGCGGCATAATGGGATTGTATCGCATTGCACGTTCGAATTTAAGCATGAAATTATCCAAAAAGTTATGTTAGCAATGCTATATTTATATTTCAAGTTGACAGTATAATATTGTAATTATTTTACCATTTTATGTAATTGCAGTGTGTTCCGAACAGCTGTGATATGAGCGGCCAAGCATGCTTAGAGATGTGCAGCGCAGTTGGAATCTTTTCGATAGGAACACTAAACAACTAACAGGGATGGACGTAATATGAAATTTATTTTAATTTATATATTTGCTTCTTTTTCTAAGTCCCACATATTAAGGAAATTTCTAAAGATGTACTTGAAATACGCTATGCAATTAAGTATTTACAGTCATAGCATTTCCATTTGTCTTTAAGTCGAATGTAATTAAATTTCTACATCGTATGCATGTATTATCATGTAATGCTTTTGTTATTTTATAAAAGCTTCTTATTTGGCAACATTTTAAATTAATCTGTACAATATTTTTCTGACATTGTTGCCGAAAGTAAATCCAATAATGCTGAACGCAACCAGTGTGCACAGCTGATATCGAGTATACAGCCAAATCATCGATTGTTGCTATCGAGAATCGATTGTTGTTATAGCAGAGACATTGGGAAAAAATCGATGTACCCTTTCACCACTAAAACACACAAACAAGCGAAGAAATTGATGTGCATAGGCAAAGTTTGAAAAAAAGAGGAAAATTGATTTGCGATTGTGGCAATTGGCTTGGTCGGTGATACATACATATTTGTGGTGTAGTTGTGTGCGTGAGTGCGTTCTCGTCTGGCTGAAACGGCAACGGAAAAAACTATTTTTGGCAAGAGTGTATTATTTTCGTCTCGGTCTCGTCTCCGTCTCCCGTTGTTGTCGCCCGCAAAGGCACCTCAACATAATTTGCGTATTGTGGCTGCCTTTTTCTTCACAGCAGCAATAAAATGGAGCGTATCCCTGAATACTTGCGCGATACGGTCGACTGGCTGATGGGGTGCGTAATAAAACAATTTAATTGATTATTAAATACACATCTACATACATATGTTGAACATTTGTGCTTATAAAACATGCCATGCAGTTCGATGCTACTGTTACCAAAGCCAAATGCAACAACAACAATACGAGTAATAGCCAACAGAATCAGCAACGATGGTGTTACGAAGACCTCTCCTTTGCTTTTGCTTCGTCGCCATTTGGCCTTTTGCCAATTGGCCTCGTTTTTTGCCTCTTGCTGTCAAAAGAAAATTTCTTTTTTCGTCTTTGTCATTGTTTTTGCTACCAACACCAACACATCATCACATCAGCACACAAACACTAGAGCTTATGCGTCGATATCACAGGAATACTTCCCCTAAATACATATATACAGATACAAACATACATATAGTACACAATATACAATATTGATATGATTTCATGGTTGCCTTTCGTTGTTGTTGTTATTGTGTTTGTTTTGTACTGTAAAATCAATGAACAACATTATCGATTTCTCAAAAGCAGCCAAATCGCTAGAAAACATTTGCAAACAAAAAGCAGGTGTTTTGATTTAAGAATGTGTGATAATAGAAGTATGGAAATAATATTTAAAAAAATCAAATATGCTCTCTTTGTCTTTATTATAACAGATGTTGCGAGCCAACAAATTTAAGCACATACACACAAACCCTGTCGCATTTGTATATATTTATTTATGTTATTGTGTACATACATAGTTTCTTAATCACAGCTGATTGCTGGCCCCCGACATTTTTGCAGTTCAGTTTTCTGCTAATTTCATACTCGTATAAGTAGTATTATATATTGCTTCTTAGTGTATCGTCGGATAAGAACAAGTTTAATGAACTTTGATATTCTTTGCCGTTCTTATAATATTATTAATATAACACACTTTTTAGAAACATACGTAAATGGCGATCTTTGTATTATCAAAATACTGGCTGTTACTTTTAATTTAAAATGCAAAAATAATTATGTGCACTAATTAATGATAGCAACTTCTACGTATGTATTCGTTTTTAATCTGTTATTCCTATTTCCGAATGAAATTGCAGTCGTTTTACTTCTCAAATATGATTTTGAACCGTTTTATTCCGATTCGATAGCAGATACTTTTATTTGTAATAGAGGGCGAGTCTTTTAAATATAGCCTACAAATAATCAATGGAGCCGATACGGCTTTGTATGCATACATACATATGTGGACAAAAGTCGAATTCCATGTTACTGGCATTACATTTTCCTCTTGTGTCAGCTGATTGTTACCAATCTGATATGTCGACGGTATCGATTTTAGGGCTCAAATTAAATTCATTTGTTTGGTATTAAGAATAAAATGGTTAATTACATTTCCTCTTTCTCACGCAAAGATACGAGATAAACTTTGGGACTAAACAATTCAATTCAAACAAAGCAGATTATCATTTTTATAGGCGTATCAACTCCCACTTATGTAAATCCTTCTTACAATAAATTATTTAGAGGAAATCAAATACAATTGCAGCTTTGATAATGGAATATTTATTGGTAAACAAAAATAGAGTCAATTCATTTTAAATTGCATTTCCTATGTGATATTGATTTAAAATATCAGCGAGGGAAGTTTTTGAAAGTTTTTATAATTTATAATTTTATATAATGAATTTATTATACCACTTAAGCAATAAGAAGAAACATTTTCAAGGTGCTGGGAATTACAGAAGTTAAGCATTAGACATACATAAAGTACCCGAAAAGGCATTAACAAATTTGAAAGCAGAAAAAGACGAAATTACTTTGAATTGAATACAAGATTTTATGTTCATTAATGATTACGTTATTTCACTGTATGGGTCCTTGAAAGACATTTTCTACTGTTAGCTCGCAAATTATCTCCACATTTGTATATGGAATGACTCTTAGTACTTGTGGAGCCAACCTCGTTCGAAAGTCGTCTTGTACACATGTATGTATGTGTGTACATGGATGGGGTCAGCCTTGAAGTGCACTTAGTACGACTCTAATTGAATTAGGCGGCAGAAGGCACAATTGCAGAGCAAGAAGACAACGGGGAAATGCACTATACAACCAATAGTCTAGGAGACTGGCAGAGAGTGCGACAATTTGCAAACAAACAGTGACAAGTTCGCAATTCCTCTGCTGGAACTGATTGATTGACAGGGCGGTTTGCCGCTGGACGCCCAAGGCGCTGATGAGTGATGGTTACAAGCAAAATCAATGAGTTTATATTTAGTACATATACATACATACATGTGTGTCCATATATATGTGTGTGTGTGTGCAATTGTGCAAAGACATCTCACACTGCGGCCACCACATCAGAACCGACTGACCTCTCTTCCGACGTGACGATATGTTGGTATCGGGCGTTTATTGCATACTTTTAGGGGCTGCAGTCAGTTACAGTTGAGTGCTGAACGCGCTCAGTTCCTATTGCCCAGCCTGGCGCTTGCCATGAACTGGGCTATCTCGAATCTGACGGGCGGCAATCGCGTGAGTCGCGCTATACTCGTGCGCTACTCCTCGGTGCCTTTGGCGGATGCTGCCGATGGCGGGTCCACAGCTCCGCAAACGCCCACGGCAACTCCCAGAGCTTCGTCCTCACATTCGACACTGTCATCCACATTCGCTGCCACATTCCTGCACTCATCCTCGAGGCATGTGCCAGGACGCGCCGTGCCACGTCAGCATGCCAATAACAGCAACGACGGTGGCGGTGGTAGTGCTGGAAACAATAATGGCGGTGGAAACGGTGGCGCCTCACAGCTAACGCTGCCGCTCGATGTTGAAGAAACAGTCACTTGTTTTTGTCGGTAAGAAGTAAGGGTTGCATTGGTTAATTCTTTCGCTACATTTTTTTATGTTTAGAAAGAATACTAATACTAAAATACTTAGTATATGTATACATATTAGATGATAATAGACATACAAGTATTTTTTCGTTTGCGGACCAATATTTAATCTTAGTGCCTTTGTTAGGTCTTTCGTTGCTGGATCTGTATACCTTGTACCAGAAGAGGTAAAGCGTATATTAGAAAGTCTAAACGTCAAATGAACATACATATGTACGCGCGGAAGAGGCGTAACAGCTTAGGAACATAGCACGGCAAAAAAGTTTATTTTAAGAGCCTACGCTGACTTTTAAGCAATTCGACAGCAATTATCTATAATAGTAGTGGTGTACAATATTACAAATTTCGGAATTTTGTACAATAATTGCATTTTGTTTGAACACATTTGGGATTATTCGATATACTCTTAGCAATATTAACAAGCTTGTAATGCAGCTAAATTCCACTCCAGGAAAAGACTATACACTTACATACATAAACCATTTAAAAGGAGTGCTCTTTGTTTTATAATATAAAGTTTTTGATATTACTGGCATACCGGTTTCCAAAAAGGGTTGAAAAGTTGAATCTTTGAGGCATAAATGTATGTATGACGAAAAGGGTTCATCAAATCTAGTCTGGCTGTATGGAAGTTCCTTAAACTTGCTGCATAGGTTTCTTTCATTTTAAATTTCTTATTTCGATGTATGTTTATTTATTTACTCTAAAAGGTTCTGCAGGTAGAATGTAAGTAAGCCCAGAGAGCTGCTGTTTTATTACTACCATTCATCCACAAAAATAACACACAGGCATACCCAAATTCACCGTGAAATCGGGAGAGTCTGTTGTCTCTCAAGCGCCCGTGAATGTGCCTTCGCAGAACAGCTGATATCTGCAATCCCATTGTTATTGTCGGAATTCTCCTGTGCGTTGTTTGCTGCGTAAATGATTGGGCTACTCACACATACATACACAAATAGGTATAAATAAGTATGTATGTATATGTGGGCCTGCTGCTGGGTGCGAATTTTCTTGGTGTCACTACTTGGTGTGCAGTTTTGTTTTTGTATGGTTTCTATGCGTGTTCACACACACACACACACACACACACACACACAGAGGCTAGCCTTGTGCGCGTTTTGCGCATTTGCCTTTGACGGGCAAAGGGGAAGGGGTCAATGCTATATCACACCTCCATCAGATTACAACTGGCCCCCCTTTTGTATGCGCCTTTCAACGATATATAAATCAAACAGCGCCGTGTCAGTCGTTTATTTGTTAACACAGGGGCATATTTGAAAATGTTATATTTTCGCATATGTGGCGCGTATTATCATTTATTGTAAACGGTTTTTTTTTGCGCACTTCCTAATTTTTTAGTTGTGTCTGACGTCATTTGTAGTGCGCATGACTC